TTATTATGATGGTCTCTTAATTAGGGAATTATGTAGGTTTATTATTGATCTGTAAACCTTCACAGCCGTTTGCAATTGCACAGTATATTTTTCTTCAACCTCTCATCTTTCGGCAACCACAACAGAAATCGCAGGCCATCTTCATCACCATAATTCGATCACCGCCATCATCATCCTGTTATCACCATCATCATCTTGTTATCATCATCAAACGTTCAAACCATCTTCATTTTGCCATCAACGTCGCACGCCTTCCTCACGGTTCGTGCCATCATCAACGATCAACTCTTCGGCGTGAACCAGCAACCTTCCGGCGAGTCCAACCTTTGCTGTGACCCTTCGCTACGACCAGCAACTCCCGACGAGTCCCGTCGAGGCTCCGTTCGTCCAGTCTCGTCCGACCCGTTCTTCCGATATTCCGAAGACGGGTGTTTGAGGAGTCGAGCCTCATCCTACGTGTTTGCTTTTGTGTGCTATTATCTACCGAAATTTCCAGGTGGGTTGTAATTGTAATATTTGCTATGCTTTAATTAATTGCTTTTGGTGTGGTATGATCAAAGTATGCATGTGAACCATGTAGCCTTCGATGTGAGCTATATTGGCCGTCGAACGGTTATCCCCGTAGCTATAGAACGTACCTTCGGGTAGTCTCCTTTATTATTGTTGATAGACAGGGCGTGAGCCTTGGCTGGTGATCCTCGTATGTAAGGCCAAGGCGAAAGTTTTGGCATTCGGGGTGGATTATTGCTCCTGCTGGCCGGCATTCGTTGTAAGGCCTTCGAGGAAGGCGTTCGGTATATAGCTCGGCAGTAGTCTATTGTTATAGGTGTGCACATGAGACCATTATTGATTATTGATAGGAGATGGGACGGTTATTGATTCGTATACATGCTGCGACCATACTTAAATTGTTTTTATTAATTATTGCATAGCGGTGAGCACCTCGACTTTTCTATTGTGCTCATCCCCACCTGCTCTTCATGGATGCAGGTTAGTTTATACGGCACGACGGAAGGGATGCGAGTGGTGGTCTTTAATTTGAATAAATGCTTCCGCTTTGAACTAAACTTTGATATTATTGCATTATTATTGATTATTGTTTTCTAGTATTGGAATATTGGAATATTGTTAGGAATTATTTCCCTAGATCATTATTGGATTATTATCGCATTATTGGGATTTTATTATTGTTGATTATGAGTATTGAAAATTGCCAAGTATTGAGAAATTGGCGAGTATTGATTATTGTTTTGAAAATGAGTAGCGCCTCAAATATTGTTTTTGAAATAAATTTCGAAAAATTTATTCTGATTTTCGGTAAATAAAAGTGGGGCGTTACATTTTCCCCTTCACATCATTTTCTGTTCATGAATCTCTTTTCAGAGTCGATCCCGTGGGAAACGAACCATGTGCTAGCTTTTTCAATGAGTCATTGCATGATGGTAGCTCTTTTTGACAGAAAAACAAATAAGTTTCAAGGTTTGTAAGAATACGCAATTAGTCCCAGTCAATCAACACCACACTTTCTTTCAGTAGAACCAGAACATCAATTGTGACTTAGTGATGAATCAAATGCAAGGTGCAAGATATTCGTAATGCAAATACCCTATATTCTTATACACAATGCAATAGATAAATAATACCATAATATACAATATAGTACAATATAATGCAGTTTCACACAAGCAATCAGAAAATGCACATACCTAAGGATTTCCATAGAGAGATGAACCGATAGGAATCAGTGCTTTGGTGAATATATCAGCTAGTTGGTTTTGTGTTCGAACATACTCAAGAACAATCACATCATTCTCAACCAAATTTCTATTAAAGGCGTACCATATATTAATGTTTGGTTCGAGAGTGTTGAACATGATTCTTGGAGATGCTAATGGCGCTAGTGTTGTCACAAAAAAGGTTAATGGTCCTTACATCACGGCAAAATTCCAACATCATCTGTTTCATCCACATCAGCTGAGAACAACAACTTCTAGTTGAAATGTACTCAGCCTCTGCAGTTGAAAGAGCCACATAATTTGTTTCTTTCTCAACCAAGAGATAACGTTCTTCCCGATGTAAAAACATCCTCCTGAAGTGCCATGTCAGTCATCCACATTAACTGTCTAATCAGCATCACAGTATCCTACTAGACTAGCACGCGTATCATGTGAATAAAGAATTCCTAAGTCAGAAGTACCATGAACATATTTAATGATATGTTTCACGGCTTTCCGATGGATTCCTTAGGATTAGATTGATAGCGCGCACACAATTGAACACTAAAACACAAATCAGGTCTACTAGTAGTCAAATACAACAAACTTCCAACCATTCTACTATAAAGGGTAGAGTCCACCGGCGTTCCAACATCATCCTTAGAGAGCTTCTTGTGGCTCCCCATAGGAGTCGCAGGACAATTAGTGTGTTGTAACGGAACTTTTTCACCAAAATCTTAGAATATTTTGTTAGATGAAGAAATATCCCATCCTTGGATTGCTTCAATTGCAAACCCAAGAAGTAGGCCATCTTGCCAACCATACTCATCTCAAACTCCTTAAACATATGGTCTACGAACTCATTGACAAAAGATTTTGAGGTAGAGCCAAAGACTATATCATCGACGTAAATCTAAACGACGATAATATCTTTCTTATTTTTTCCCACAAAAAAGAGTTTGATCAAATCCCCCTTCAGAACATCCATTCTTAATAAAAAAAAAGTGGGTCAAGTGTTTATACAATGCACTAGGAGCTTGCTGGAGTCCATATAAAACCTTCTTCAGCCTATGCACATGATCTTGATAATGAGGATCCACAAATCCTTTAGACTGCTTATCATAAGCTACCTCTTTTAAAAAACCATTCAAAAATGTAGATTTAACATCCATTACATGGATAATAAAGCCCAACTCACATGCAATGGATATAAACATCCTAACGGACTCTAGACGAGCATCATAAGCAAATGTTTCATCAAAATCTACACCCTCTTCTTGAGTGTATCCCAGTGCCACAAGATAAGCTATATTCCTAGTGATCTCCCCCGATTCATCCGTCTTATTTTTAAAAATACATTTTTTTCCCATGAAGTTACAATCGGTGGGTCTAGGAACAAGCTCCCAAACATCATTCCTAACAGTCATCACACAAAGCTTCTTTTTCATATCTTGCACCCAAAATTCATCACACAAAGCTTCTTTAGCAATTTTTTGTTCCAACTTTCATACATAACACGCAAAGTGACATAGATCAATCATCTTTCGAGAGTCTTGTTTTACACCTCTTGTATTATGTTCAGAAATCCCTCCAATAATTAAATCTTTAAGATGATCCTTTTGAATTTTAGCAGGTGGATCTTTTCCAGATTCAGATGGATTTCCAGAGGGCATTGGAACACAGTAGTCTTTATTCTCACTCTTGAACATTCTCATCAAATTCAGAAAAATCAGTTTTAATTTCATTCAAAACATTTTAAACTTCAGTTCACAGACTTCTTACCTACAGAGGCATCAAATTAAGCAACATCAGGAGTAAGAACATTATCAAAAAATTCATCAAAGACAATGTTGATTGATTCCATCACCACTTCAGAAGTACGCAAATTATAAACACGAACTGCACGACTGTCAGAGGAGTAACCAATAAACTGACCAATGTCACTTTCGGACTCAAATTTACCTAGATGTTCATTGTCATTGTCGATGTAATAATGACATCGGAACACATGAGAATACTTCACACTAGGAGGTTCAGCTTTCCAAAGCTCATAGCATGTCAAGCTCGTACCTTTTCTGCAAAACACATGGTTAGCTATATAACAAGCCGTGTTGATGGCTTCAGCTCACCATCTCAAAGACATTCCTTTCGATACCAGCATCACCTTAACCATCTCCTGTAGTGTTCAATTCTTGTGTTCCACCACTCTATTTTTTTACTTTGTAATAGGAGAAGAGAACTGATTCGTTATACCACGAGAAACACAAAATGACTTAAAACCACTGTTTTCAAATACCTTTCTATGATCACTCTTAATTGAAACAAGATCAGTTTTCTTTTCATTTTCAAGTTCCAGCACATGTTTTTGAAAATGTTCAAGTGCATCAAACTTTTCTTTTCAGAAATACCCAAAAGAATCTAGAAAGATCATCTACACATACAAGAATGTACTTTTTACCACTGTGGATTTCCACTTGTATAGGCCCCATGAGATCCATATGCATCAGATCCATGATATTGTTCGTACTCACCTTAGTCATCCTTTTATGGGAAGCTCTCTTCTGTTTGCCCATTTGGCACGGACCACACACATGAAGTTCTTCTTTCTATAGTTTGGGAAGACCACAAACAATACCTGTAGATGACAGTTGAAGTAAGTGGGATAATTTATATGCACTAATATTTTTATGCCAGAGTTCAATCGTATTCGCTGGTTTTGTTACACTTCAATTCATGTTCAACCAAGTAAAAATTATCCCTAGATCTAGAGCCAGTATGAATAAAATTATTCTCTTGATCAGAAACAAGACATTCAGACTTAGTAGAATTCACTTGATGCCTTGATTACACAACCCACTGATACTCAACAAACTTTATTTCGAACTTTTAACAAGAAGAACATTTTGAAGCTTAGGAAATCCAAGCACATTCAAACACCCAATACCAAAAACTTTATTATTAGCACCATCACCAAAGGTTACAGAACTTGAAGACATAGGCAAATATTTATCAAATTAGATGGAAGACCCGTCATATGACGCGCACACCAACTGTCAAAATACCAACCAGAATTGGAAGCGGATTTTAAGGCAAGTATAGAAGACAGACAAATGTTCTTACACCTCTTTAGAATGCAAATCTTTCTGTGAACACAGTTTACAACATCAACCTTTAGTTTAGGTGCTTTTAGAAGTATACCATGTGGACTCCATTCATTAATTTGATCATTGTAGATATCATTATGCATCATATAACACTTAGGATGAATATGACCATGAATACCACAATAGTGATAAGTAGGCAGAAAATTCTTTTCTGAGTTCTTATGCTGAGTTTCAGTAGTAGTTGACTTACATTTCTTACCATTGATACTCGTATCTTCTTTGACAAACGTAAGAGTGGACTTACTTTGAGATTGATTTGGTTCACAATCTTACCTTTAAACTTCTGGTTGTATGCGTACTTGCCCTGGTCTGAGGTGCCTATCTGTTGGCTCAAATTTCGAACTTCAGCAAAAGAGGATTTTGGTTTGTTGATCCTCTTTATAACTTCATCGCTCTCGCTGAGTTTCTTTTCTATGATTGAATAGTGTTCTTGAAGCAGCATATGTTCCTCCATCACTCAACCAAGCTCACTTTTTAGGACGATTATCACAGCTCCTCTTTCTCCTACACGATTCTACGTAGTAAACAACTCATTACGGAAGGATTCAATGTTAAAATTCTTATCATCACTTACATGTTTGCTGAATTTATTGTTGTGTTCCATCATGACAATTTTGGCAAAACAACTATTGAGATCCTAGATTTGCTTCACATCGTGTATGTCAGAGTTGATGAGCTTTTCATTGAGTTCAATGGCCATCAAACGCATTTTCTAAAGTTCACCTCTGATATGAATGATCTCTTTTTCACGCTCTTCTAATCGGTGTTCCAACTGCTTTAGCTTCTCTGTCTGGACTTGGTACTTCTTGATGACTTTGGAAACTTTGAGACACTTCTTTATGACATACTTGTGAAGAACAAGATTCTCCTCAACTGGATTTGAAAACTCCTTAGATTCAGAATCACTCAAAGAATGAGCGTGTAATATCCCGTCAGTTTATTAATCTAAATCATGTTTTTAGTTCTGATATATTAATATTGTCGAGTATTAATTTTTGAAATTAATTAATTTCAGTCGAGATTACCCAAAATTATTTTCGACGTCCCATTTACGTTCGGAATAATTTTGGTAATTAAGTATTATGCTTAATTAAGTAATTAAGCACTTAATCATGACTAATTTAGAATTAATCATGCTTAAGAGGTAAATGCCGAAGCAAATGGGCTATTTCTCTCCTAAATGCCGTAACAAATTAATTGTTATGCGAGGGATTTTGCTCCAATTATTAGTAGCTTGAGGTGGCTTCTTTAGAAGGCTTAATGGTGACTAATCAATTTTGGTGGTGAATTAGCACTAAGATGAGGTCTAATTAGGACAAGTGTCCTAATCTCCTTTAATCACTCACACCTCATTATCAATCCACCTCTTCGGAACCGGTTCAGTCAGTATTTATCAGTTCCAGTCCCGGTTCATGGTTTCAGTGTCATTTTCAGTTAAATTCCGGGACCAGTTCAGTTCAGTTAATTAATATCAGTTCAGTTTCGTACTTAACCGGTTTCAGTTATACCGACTAAGTCCGAATATCATGTCAGGTTCAGTAGAGAATCTTAACATAATTAATCAGTTAATTTATCATTCTGAGCATAGTCAGTAGTAATTGTTTATATTATTTTCAGTTTGATCAGGCCTCAGCACAACCGTTCAGTTTCAGCAGTTCAGGTGGGGACTCAGACTAAGTACTACATTGATTATAATAACAACATCATGATTGTCAGAGTAGTATACCCGGTGTTCCAATCAGATTGGACGTATTCTACTTGAAAATACAA